AAGCCCCGTGGAATCCGATGCGGTTACTCCCATGTAAACACGCCCACGGGGAAGCCGGGAGTTGGGTTTCTCATCATTTCCTTGACACAATTTAATAGCACTATATGTGTGTGACTGGATGGATAGATATATAGGTGGATGGATGTATAGATGGACAGGTAGGTAGGTAGGTAGAGGAATACATAGATGGATAGGTAGGTAGGTAGGTAGGTAGATGGATGGATGGATACAGAGATGGATAAATAGATGGATGAATGGATGCGTGGGTAGGTAGGTAAGTAGAGAGATAATAGATGGATGGATAAATAGTTGGATAAGTAGGAAGGTAGAGGAATAGATAGATGGATAGGTAAGTAGATAGATCGATAGATGGATGGTTAAATAGATGGATGAATGGATGGGTAGGTGGGTAGGTAGGATGGATAGGTGGATAGGTGGATAGGTAGGTAGGAAGGTTGAGGGATAGATAGATGGATAGGTAAGTAGATAGATGGATGGATGGATACAGAGATAGATAAATAGATGGATGGGTGGGTGGGTGGGTAGGTAGGTAGGTAGATAACCCTGTTGTATTCCACTGTTGCATGGTAATTTGGCACACTTAAATTATATATATATACTTTAGAAAGAGAGATAGAGAGACGCATACATTGATCTCATGTTCGATTAGATAGATAGATTGTATATATCTATATGTATGTATCTATATATCTCGATATTATGTTGTATTTGCATGCTGATTTTGGCACAATAAGGTCTGTCTGTCTATCTATCTATTGAGATATATATATTGATGCCATGTTCAATTAGAAAGGTAGATAGATAGGTAAAGAGGGAGGGAGAGATCTATATATCTATCTAATTTTGGCCCATTTCCATTGATTGTATTTATGCAAACATACCATGTTCATTTATATAGATAGATAATAGATGCTATGTTTAATCATATATATATATTGATGTCATGTTGTATTCTACTTTTGCATGCTAATTGTGGCACAATACAGTCCGTCTATCTATCTATCTATCTATCTATCTATCTATCTATCTATCAAGAGAGATACATATTGATGCCATGTTCAATTAGAAAGGTAGGTAGATAGGTAAAGAGGGAGAGATCGATAGAAGATGTTCAACTCTCTATCTAATTTGGGCTCATTTCTACTATATGTATGTATGCACACATACCATATTCAATTATATAGACAGATAATAGATGGATGCTGTGTTCAATCACACACACACACACGCACATATATCGATGTCATGTTGTATTCCACTTTTGCATGCTAGTTTTGGCACAGTACAGTCCATCTATCTATCTATCTATCTATCTATCTATCTATCTATCTATCTATCTAGAGAGATACATATTGATGCCATGTTCAATTACAAAGGTAGGTAGATAGGTTAAGAGAGAAAGAGAGAGAGAGAGAAGACGTTCAACTCTATATAGAGCTATCTAATTTCCACTATTTGCATTAATTTTGGCCCCTTTTCATTATATGTATGCATACACACCCCATGTTCAATTATATAGATAGATAATGTATAGGTTGTTGTGAGTTTTCCGGGCTGTATGCTATGTTTCAGAAGCATTATCTCCTGACGTTTTGCCCACATCTATGACAGGCATCCCCAGAGGTTGCGAGGTTGGAAACTAGGAAAATGGGATATATATATATATATATATCTGTGAAATGTCCAAGGTGGGAGAAAGAAGCATTAGGAGTAAATTTCAAACTCTGCCTATCCACAGATAGATAGATAGATAGATAGATAGATAGATAGATAGATAGATAGATAGATAGATAGATAGATAGATAGATAGATAGATAGATATTTGTCGTGTCAGGGCAACCAGTCAATAGATAGATAGATAGATAGATAGATAGATAGATAGATAGATAGATAGATAGATAGATAGATAGATAGATAGATAGATAGATAGATAGATAGATAGATAGATAGATAGATAGATAGATAGATAGATAGATAGATAGATAGATAGATAGATGAGATAGATAGATGATAGATAGATAGATGATAGATAGATAGATAGATAGATAGATAGATAGATAGATAGATAGATAGATAGATAGATAGATAGATAGATAGATAGATAGATATTTGTCGTGTCGGGGCAACCAGTCAATAGATAGATAGATAGATCTGTCTATCTATCTGTGGAATGTCCACAGATGCAGGCGAAATATATAGATATAGATAGATATAGATATATGGAATGTCCACAGATGCAGGCGAAACGTCAGGAGAGAATGCTTCTGGAACATAGCCATACAGCCCGAAAAACTCACAACAACCCAGTGATTCTGGCCATGAAAGCCTTCGACAATAGATAATAGATAGATGCTGTGTTCAATCCTATTATATATCGGTGCCATGTTTGATTCCACTTCCGCATACTAACGTTGGCACATTTCAATTACTGCACATAAAGAACATAGAAAAATACTATCGGTAGGATATTTTATTTTGAAGAGAAGTCACAGCCCGACTCTAGGAAGTCGAAGTAACCATACCATTCAATCCAATGAGACATAAAATGTACACAGGACGCTTTTGGATGTTTGTTTTCCTCTGCATTTACCTTCTAAGTAAGCATCCAGGGGTCTCTTATGATCCCTGCTTGCTAACCCTACATTGCCTGCTCCTTTCTGATCCCTTTCCCTCTCTCCCTGCCTTCCCATTTCGTAACGACGCCTTTCCCCTCCCTTCCTCTCTCTCTCTCTGCCTATCTCTTTCTAAAACTGTAAATATAAACAAACAAAAACACCCACACGAGCCTTCTTCTCCGTCTCCCCCCCACTCAACACACCCTCCACTTCCAGCCACCAAACAATTTGAAATGTATGCGCTCCCCCTTCTTCTCCTCCTCCTCCTCCAAAAAGGGGAAGGCTTAACAAAGCAGCCCTAGAAAAACATCCTTGTTCCAGATTTGTCTGAAGATGTTCAGATAACTATTATTTGCCCTCTCCGGAGAGGTTTCCTTGGGGAAGGGGAGAGTGAATTAGAAACCTCCACCCCTTTGGAAGGAGCAATTCCCTTCCAACCCTCGGAGCTTGCAAAAAAAAAGCCCTCAACCCATCTAAGATCATAACAACAATAAGAGAATATCTATATAAACGATGCCAGGAGAATTGGGGATGGGGACACTGGAAGGGATTTGAGTTCAAATGGATCTAATGGGGGGGGGGGGATAGGGTGATAGTGAGTCCTATTATTATTATTAGATGGGTAATAGATATTATTATTATTATTATTATTATTATTATTATTATTATCATCATCTCATTTTCCTCTCTCAAAACGGCTCACAACATTAAAAACAACCTACAGCAACCCAATGCAATTTATGTTTTGGGGTTGTTGTGAGTTTTTTTATGCAATTTATGTTTTGGGGTTGTTGTGAGTTTTTTAATGCAATTTATGTTTTTGGGTTGTTGTGGCCGAAATCACTGGGTTGTTGTGAATTTTCCGGGCTGTGTGGTCATGTTCCAGAAGCATTCTCTCCTGACGTTTCGCCTGCATCTATGGCAGGCATCATCAGAAGTTGTAGGGTCTATTGGAAGCTAGGAAAAAGAGGTTTATATATATTTCTCCCAGGCAGGAAGCAGCCAGGTTTTGAAGATGCAAGGATATTAAATGCTAATCAAGGTCCCAATCGCAAAGTCAGGAGAGGATGCTTCTAAAACATGGCCATATAGCCCGAAAAACCTACAACAGTCCGTTGTGAGGTCTGATGGAAACTAGGAAAATGGGGTTTATATCTCTGTGGAATATCCACGATGGGAAAAAGAACTCTTGTCTGTTTGAGGTAGGTGTGAATGTCGTAATTGGACACCTTGATTAGCATTGAATGGCTACGGTTGTTTGTTTTTCGGGCTGTATGGCCATGTCCCAGAAGCATTCCCTCCTGACGTTTCGCCTGCATCTATGGCAGGCATCCTCAGAGGTAGTGAGGATGCTTGCCATAGATGCAGGCGAAACGTCAGGAGAGAATGCTTCTAGAACATGGCCATATAGCCCGAAAAACCTACAACTCGTGAGGTCTGTTGGAAACTAGGAAAATGGGGTTTATATCCACGGTGGGAGAAAGAACTTTTGTCTGTTGGAAGTAGGTGTGAATGTTGCAATTGGCCACCTTGATTAGCATTTAATGGCTATGTTTTTGTTTTGTCTTCAAGAGGACTTCTTGACTTACTTGTTTTCCTGGATACAATGTATTTTTGAAGGCTTTCATGGCCGGAATCACTGGGTTGTTGTGACTTTTCCGGACTGTGTGGCTATGTTCCAGAAGCATTCTCTCCTGACGTTACGCCTGCATCTATGGCAGGCATCCTCAGAGGTTGTGGCCAATTGCAACATTCACTCTTATCTGTTTCAGGCAAGTGTGAATGCTGCAATTGGCCACAACCTCAGAGGATGCCAGCCATAGATGCAGGCGAAATGTCAGGAGAGAATGCTTCTGGAACATGGCCATACAGCCCGAAAAACTCACAACAACCTTCCTGGATAAGCTTCTTGCTTCCTATTCTGACCCTAAGCTCGCACCTTTCCTTGATGTGGAACTCAGTAGCTGAGTTTATGATATTCTATTTTTCTCAAACTTGTTTCCCATGGCTGTGCCAAAAAGGAAAGGAGAGAAAAAAAACTTTGGGTACATACATATCATAATTTTTAACAAGACAGAGATCCCATTCCTTTTCCAGTTTGCTTCCTAAGCTGGGTTGAGGTGGTGGTTGTTGTTGCGGGTCCTCTCCCCTCCTTTCCAGCCCCCTCCCCTTCTCCTCGGGATGGCTACATTTCCTTTTTCTCTCCCTCTCTCCCGAGCGTCTATCAATGCGCTGTCAATCAAAGCGGCGGCTTCCCTTTCATCTTCTTCCTCCCGCCCCCACCCTTTCAACAGAGCGAGAGAGAGAGAGAGAGAGAGGAAAAGGGGGAGGAGGGAGGGAAAGGGGGAGTGGGAGGAGGAGGAGGGAATGTTAAAGTTCCACTACGGAGGGAGCCAGAGGAGGAGAGAGACCGAGAGAGAAAGAGAGAGAGACCAAGAGAGACCACTGCCTTTTGGAGCATGCTCCACGCGAGACCGTGGGTCGCACGCAGAGAGGCGACTCTTTCCCCGTAACTGAAGATAAGAGTTTGAGAAGGGAAGCTTGACATTCCCGTGGATTGTTTGGACCACGAACCCTCCTCACCTGAGCAAAAAGAAGAAGAACCCCCCCAGTGACTCTTTTCTCCTCCTGAGGACTTAAGTCAACCTTGGCGACTTTTGAAACACGACTTGTATCTAAGGACTCTAAGGAAAAGGGGTCTTTTTTCCCTTCTTCTTCTGCCACGCAAGAAGTTTAAGGGTCTCGCTCAAGGGGCTTCCGGGTCTCGCGCGCCCACAGCCCACCTGGCGAACCCCAACCTCCAGGGTCCCCCCTTTTTCTCTCTGGAGACGAAGACAGCGAAGAAGAGGAGGGAGAGACCCTTCGGAAGGGGGAGGCCGGCACTCCCCGGCCCCAGGGACAAAGGCAGAGGCCCGGTGCGTGGGTTTAGGTGCGGAGAGGAGGTGTGCGTGGCTGGGGAGCTGTGTAGAGGAGAGAGAGAAATAGGGAGGGAGAGAGGCTTCCCTTCTTTCTTTCCTTCCTCTTCCTCTTCTCTCTCTTTTACTCTGGTATATATCATTCCCTCTTTGAAGTCTGTGTCTGTGGCATTTTCCCTTCCTTCTCCACTTATTGGGTGGGTAATTGGGGGGGGGGGAGGGGGTGTGCGTGGTGGTGTGGCGGAGAGAGAGAAGGAGAAATAGAGAGAGAGGTCTCCCTTCTTTTTTCTTACTTTCCTCTTCTCTCTTTTTCACTCTGGCATATCCCCTTCCCTCTGTGAAGTCTGTGGCATTTCCCCTTCCTTCTCCACTTATTAGGTGGGTACTAGGGAAGAGAGAGAGAAAGAGAGAGAGGCTTCCCTTCTTCTCTGTTACTTTCCTCTGCCTCTTCTCCACTCTCTATCACTCTGGTATTTCCCCTTTTTTTCTGTGAAGTCTGTGTCTGTGGCATTTCCCCTTCCTTCTCCAGTCACTGAGTGGGTGTATTGGTGGGGAGGAGGTGCGAGTGGCTGGGGAGCTGTGCGGAAAAGAGAGAGAGGCTTCCCTTCTTACTTTCCTCTTTCCTTTCTCCTCTCTCTTTCACTCCGATAATTCCCCTTCACCTCTGTGAAGTCTGTGTTTGTGGCACTTCCCCTTCCTTCTCCACTCAAGCTCTTTCCGAACCCAGCTGCCCTGTCAGAGTCCCTCCAAACTGCCCAAAATAGCTCTTATTTCTTGACCTGCATTTGTATTTCTTTTTGAAAAAGACGATACCAAGCGGAAGAAAGGCTCAAGAGGGTGTTTATGTTTTGGCAAACCAAAAGTGACGCTATTGAAAGAGAGAGAGAGGGGGGGGGGGGGGGGGGGGGGGGGGGGGGGGGGGGGGGGGGGGGGGGGGGGGGGGGGGGGGGGGGGGGGGGGTGGGAGAGAGAAGCCAAACCGGGCAGAGGCGCAAACTTGTCCAGACTTTCCTGTCTTCTCGCGGCAGACACAACAGAAACTGGGGAAGGGAAAGGAGTGGGGTCTGCCTTCCTTCCTTCCTTCCTTCCTTCCTTCTTCCTTCCTTCCTTCCTTCCTTCCTTCCTTCCTCCTTCCTTCCTTCCTTCCTTCCTTCCTTCCTTCCTTCCTTCCTTCCTTCCTTCCTTCCTCTCTCATTCTCTCTCCTCTTTTTTTAAAGACCTGCAGACCAAAGGCACAGACAAGGCCTCTCTTCCCTCTTTTCTCCTCCTTCAGGTGTTTGGTCATGGTTGGAGCAAAGAGTGTTTGTGTATTTGTGTGGGTTGCTTAGATTGAAGAGAAGTCTCCCCTCAAAGACTTCTAACTTCCATCCTTCCTGTTGGTTCTTTCTTTCTCTCCTCCTGCGTCCTCTTCTTAACTCCTTCCTCTGTGTGTGTCTCCTTCCTTCCTTCCTTCCTTCCTTCCTTCCTTCCTTCCTTCCTTCCTTCCTTTCCTTCCTCTCTTCCCTTTCTTTCTTTTCAAGACCTGCAGACCAAAGACACAGGTGAGGCCTCCCTTCAGGTGTTTAGTGATGGTTGAGAGGGCAACCCTTGAAGCGAAGTGTGTCTGTGTGTTTGTGTGGGTTTATTAATTGAGGGGTTTCCTCTCCAAGACTTCTAACTTCCATCCTTCCTGTTGTTTCTTTCTTTTTGTCCTCCTGCGTCCTCTTTTTCCCTTTTCCTTCCTCTCTGTCTTTCTCCTTCCTTCCTTCTTTTTCTTTTCAAGACCTGCAGACCAAAGACACAGGCGAGGCCTCCTTTCAGGTGTTTGGTGATGGTTGGGAGGGCAACCCTTGAAGCGAAATGTGTTTGGTATTTGTGTGGGTTCATTAATTGAGGGGTCTAACTTCCATCCTTCCTGTTGGTTCTTTCTCTCCTCCTGCATCCTCTTTTTCCCTCCTCCTTTCTCTCTGTGTCTCCTTCCTTCCTTCCTTCCTTCCTTCCTTCCTTCCTTCCTTCCTTCCGTCCTTCCTTCCTTCCTTCCTTCCTTCCTTCCTTCCTCTCTCCTCCCTTTCTTTTCAAGACCTGCAGACCAAAGACACAGGCGAGGCCTCCCTTCAGGTGTTTAGTGATGGTTGGGAGGGCAACCCTTGAAGAGAAGAGTGTTTGTGTATTTGTGTGGGCTGGTTACATTGGGAGGTCTCCTCTCCAAGACGTCTAACTTCCATCCTTCCTGTTGTTTCTCCCCCCCCCCCCCCCTTCTCCTGCGTCCCTTTATTTCCCCCTCCTCTCTCTCTTCTTCTTTCCTTCCTTCCTTCCTTCCTTCCTTCTGGGCCGGAGCAGACTCTCCAGAGGCAGCAGCCACGATGCCTCAGCTCTCGGGAGGTGGAGGAGGCGGCGGAGGAGGTGGAGGGGACCCCGAGCTCTGCGCCACCGACGAGATGATCCCTTTCAAAGACGAGGGCGACCCTCAGAAGGAGAAGATCTTCGCCGAGATCAGCCACCCGGAGGAAGAGGGCGACTTGGCCGACATCAAGTCCTCGCTGGTCAACGAGTCGGAAACAATCCCGAGCAGCAATGGGCACGAGGTAAGAAGACAAGGAGGAAGAGGAAGAGGAGGAGGAGTGGGGGGAAGGCCATTGGTGTGGGGCACGGGGAAGTGGCACTGCAGCTGAGGAAGTGGAACAAACTTTCTGGAAGGAGCGCTTCACCAGCAAGAGTAGTACACCAGGCAAAAGCAAACTTGGGGCCTCCAGGTGTTTTGGACTTCAACTCCCAAGTGTTTGTGTGCGTGTGTCAGGTGCGACTTGAGAAACTGCAAGTCGCTTCTGGTGTGAGAACTGGCCGTCTGTAAGCACGTTCCCCAGGAGTATGAGATAATCGACGTCTGTTGCCCAGGAGACGCCCCGGATGTTTTGATGTTTTACCATCCTTGTGGGAAGCTTCTCTCCTGTCCCTGCATGGGGAGCTGGAGCTGACAGAGGGAGCTCAACCCACTCTCCCGGGATTCCAACCACTGATTTGTCGGGCAGCAGTTCTGGCGACACAAGGGGGGCTCCATTCTGGTGTGATGCTGGTGCATCACTTAACTACCACGGCCATGCTTCCATAACATTGAGTCATGACAGTTAAAGTGGTATCAATTTCATTATTTTAATAGTATAAGCATGGGCAAACTTTCGGCCCTCCAGGTGTCTTGGACTTCAACTCCCACAATTCCTAACAGCCTCGGGCCCCTTCCTTAGTGGGAGTTGAAGTCCAAAACACCTGGAGGGCCGAAGTTTGCCCATTCCTAGGCTTCCACAGTACTGGCATCTCAAAGTGCTGTCCAACTGCATTCATTCCCCAGCCAAGGTCTTAACGCTCGAACCACTGCACCACAAAACCTAAAGGATCTTTGACAAGAGGGGTGTTTGGGAAGGGAAGGCTCTCCCAGGCGAGCAAGGCAGAGCCAGCCTGCGTGTGTGCCGGGGCGTGGAAACCGGGAACCGCCGGCTGGGCGGCTGTTTTTGGACGGCGGCGCTTTGAAACCCGATCCGCCTCGGTTCCCCATGAATGAGCAGCGCTGGCAGAAGAAGAGGAGGAGGAGGAGGGACCGGAGTTGGAAGCTGTTGGCCGCCCCAAAGGCTCTCTCTCCCCCTTCTTCCTCTCACTTCCTTTTTGGAGTTGTGGCTCGGGGCGAACGCAGAGGTTCAAAAGCAGCTTCCCCACCACTTGAATCTACCTGTTTCCCATTCCTTCCCCTTGGAAACCCTTTGGCGGTTGAGGCAAAGGAGACTTTTAAAAGGGGAAAGCGTAAACATGACACTGCATCTGCCTTCTCCTACAAAAGATTTGGGTTTTTGCAAAGCTGAGCTCCTTTGCCTCGTTTCCCCTTTTGTTTGCCAAGCAAACCTCAGGGCTCTTCCACTTTGGGCCCTTCCACACAGACCTATATCCCAGAATATCAAGGCAGAAAATCCCACATTATCTGAGTGTGGACTCAGATAACCCAGTTCAAAGCTGATGTTGTGGGTTATTCTGCCTTGATATTCTGAGATAAAGGGCTGTGTGGAAGGGCCCACAGCCATATATTCTTATCAAGGCAGAAAATCCCACAATATCTGCTTTGAACTGGGATATCTGAGTCCACATTGCCATATATTCTCATTGTGGGATTTTCTGCCTTGATTTTCTGGATTATATAGCAGTGTGGAAGGGCCCTTAGCCTTCTACCTGACCCAAGATTAAGTTTATTAATTTTATTATTAAGTTTATTATTTATTTATTTATTATTAATTTTTTATTATTATTAAGTTTATTGTGGCATATTATTGCGGTTCTGCTCAGTGCCCTGCTGTCAATGTGCCAAGGGATGGCGTCTGTGGGAAGTGAGGCAGCCAAGCTTTGAAGCTGCAAGGCCATTCAATGCTAATCAAGGTGACCAATTGCAGCATTCACACTTGTGTCCAACAGGAAAGAGTTCTTTTTCCCACCCTGAACATTCCTTAGTGCAGTTTGGCTCCACTTTAATGGCCATAGCTCATTATGATCAGCTCCTGGGAGTTGTAGTTTTACAAGGACTTTAGCTTTCTCTGCCAAAGAGTGCTGGTGCATCACTTAACTACAGCATCTATGATTCCCGTAGCATTGAGCCATGGCAATCAAAGTGGTATCAAATGCATTAATTGGATAGCATAGATGCACTCTAGATTGCAGCCTCCTCATCCCAGAGCAAGCAACGAATGCAATGAAAAGCTGAACAATGTGTTGTTGAAAGCTTTCATGGCCAGAATCATTAGGTTGCTGTGACTTTTCAGGGCTGTATGGCCATGTTCCAAAAGCCTTTTCTCTTAATGTTTCACCCACATCTATGGCAGGCATCCTTAGAGGCTGTGAGGTCTGATGGAAACTAGGCAAGAGAAACAGTCAGGGCCAGGTAATACCTCTCAACAAAGGATTCTCCCAGGCAGGAAGCATCCAGGCTTTGAAGCTGCAAGGCCATTCAATGTTAATTAAGGTGGCCAACTGCAACATTCACACTTGCCTCCAAGGGACTAGAGTTTTTTTCCTCCACTCTGGACATTCCACAGAGATATAAACCACTCTTGCCTAGTTTCCAACAGACCTCACAACCTCTGAGGATGCCTGCCATAGATATGGGCAAAACATCAGGAGAGAATGCTTCTGAAACATGGCCAGGCAGCCTGGAAAACTCACAGCAACTGAAAGACTGAACAACTCAAAAGTTAATTTGATACCAATCTTTCTTGAGGAGAAAAGGGTGGTTCTATGGAAAAGTAAGTGGGTCACACTATTTAAACTCCTAAAACAAGCAAAAAAAATATTCCAGAAGCTCGGGGTTGAATTTGGCAGTACAGGACTGAGAAGGGCACTGTGGCCTTAAGTAGGCAGTTCTCTGATGTTTTCATGTTGCTGCCAAAGGAAACAGAATGAGCCAGCCCCACGCATTACCCAAGCCTGAATTTCAGTACATCAGAGCATGTTACAGGGGGGAAAACATGCATGAAAGATATCTGGAGAAACACTAGAACTCTTACTTCTCTGGCTTCAGTGGCTTGACCATGGGAGCTGGTAACTGAAAGTATGTTAGGAGAAACGCCTTCTTTTGCTGCTGGCAGATTCTGATATCAGCAATATATTAGGAAAGTAAAAGGAGCTGTAACAAAAACAGACAGCAGAAGAGTCTCATGCATACAAACTTCATAGTCCTTAGGCTAAAGCATACTGAAAGTCAGCAGGACTTTGTGTTTGGAGATGGGATTGAGTTACAAACTTGCTTCAGTTTAAGTTGTTCATTGTTTGCCTTGGCTTTGTGTTATTTTTCATTGTTTCTAGCCTGCCCCAGGAACCTGCACAGATTGATTTGAAAGTAGTAGCCAGTTAACTTTATTGTTAATCAATAATACATATTAGAATAGCTTGTTATGTCTTACACATTTATCCTGTATAATGCATATTATTTATTCATTTTTTTGGTGTGGAGATGATGCCTCACCAAACTACAATATATTGTAAGTCCAATGTGTTCTCGAAGGTTTCCACATCCAGAATCATTGGGTTGCTGTGAGTTTTGTGGACTGTATGGTCACGTTCCAGAAGCACTTTCTTCTGAAATTTCACCCATATCTATGGCAGCCATCCTCAGAGGTTGTGAGGTCTGTTGGAAACTAGGCAAGTGAGGTTTATATATATTTCCCCCAGGCAGGTAGCAGCCAAGTTTTGAAGGTACAAGGATATTAAATGCTAATCAAGGTCCCAATCGCAACATTCACATTTGCCTCAAGCAGACAAGAGTTCTTTCTTCCACATTGGACATTCCACAGATATATAAATCTCACTTGCCTAGTTTCCCACACATCTCACAACCTCTGAGGATATTTGCCATAGATGTGGGTGAAACGTCAGGAGAGAATGCTCTGGAACATGGCCATACAGCCCAGAAAACCCAAGCAATCTATTGTAAGTCCCTTCTCCTTTAGACTGAAGTTCTCAACCAAGTTACCCGGAAGTAATACTTGTTTAATGCTGCGATACTTGCTTCTCAATAGACGTACATTGTATTGACCTGTAAATCAATTTTCATGGCATAGGAAAGTTTATATGAAAGAGAATCATATAATAAATACCATTAAGCTTAGAATAGCCATACAATTTATTGGGCTGAAATCAGCAAGGTCAGAGCATTAGTCATCAACTCTGTAAAGCATTTGCATAAACTGTTTAGTAACTTACCAACATTAAAGCAAACAGGAAATGTTTCAATAGGTAATTCAGAGACCCTTCGTGCCATTTTCCATTAAAATGGTAATGCAGCTGTGCCAAATAAAACTATAGAATCCATTATGTCACTAAAAATGGAAAGCTAGGAAAGCTGCACAAAATTAGACAACATAAGCCTTTTGCCTCCTTTGTTAGAGCATCATTTCAAGCTTAGGAAGTGGCGCAATGGGTTAAACCTTTGTGCCAGCTGGAGTGCTGACCTGAAGGTTGGGTTGCTGACTTGAAGGTTGCCGATTTGAATCCATGAGACAGGGTGAGCTCCCATCTGGCAGCTCTAGCTTGCAGCGACATGAGAGAAGCCTCCCAGCAGGATGGTTACACATCCGGGCATCCCCTGGGCTTTGTCTTTGTAGACAGCCAATTATCTCACATCAGAAGCAACTTGCAGTATGTTCTCAAGTTGCTTCTGACACGATAAAAACAATTAGGAAGTTGTTCTGTTTCTGTAGCAGTCGGACACCACCAGGTTTTAGCATGGACAAATCAAATTAAATGCATGCTGATGTGATGATGATATTGGATGGTTTCTTTTTGGCTAGGTGTCCAGGCAAGGCCAGCCTCAGGAAATTTACCACGACAAAGGCAGAGAACATCCTGAGGAAGGTGAGAGAACAAGACTTGTTTTTTGCTTTACAAAGGTTTCATGTTGTTGCTTTACACAATGTTGCAGAGGTGTACCTGTAACAGTTCTTTAGTATCTGTATAATATCAGCAGGTTCATGTGGCAACCTGCTGTCAACTGATAGTTTGCCTGTGTGTGTGCTTTCAATTCACCTTAAGAATATCCCATTAATGTTTTGTCGCGGATTTTCATGGCCAAAATCACTGGGTTGCTATGAGTTCTCTGGGCTGTATAGCCATGTTCCAAAAGCATTCTCTCTTGACATTTTGGCCACATCTATGGCAGACATCCTCAGTGGTTCTGAGGTCTGTTGGAAACTAGGCAAGCATCGGAGAGGAGGAAACAGCCAGGCTTTGAAGCTGTAAGGCCATTATATGCTAATCAAGATGGCCACTTGCAACATCCACACTTGCTTCAAGTAGACAAGAGTGCCTTCTCCCACCTTGGACATTCCATAGATATATAAACCCCAGACTTCATAACCTCTAAGGATGCCTGCCATAGATGTGGCCAAAACATCAGGAGAGAATGCTTCTGAAACATGGCATACAGCAACTCACAATTCCATTAGTTTCATAGGTTTTTCTCAGGCAAGGAATGTTTATTTTTTTAACATAATCTTTATTTGATCTAAAAAAAATCAGGTAAGGAATGTTTAGAGGTGGTTTTTGCCAGGCCCTTCCTCTGAAATATACCCTACAGTACTTCTTATTCATTGGAGGTCTCTTATCGAAATATAAGAGGGTCTGATCTGGCTTTGCTTCCAACTTCAGACAGAATCGGGGACATTTAGGATATTAAGGCAATATGTTGTGTGTCTGAATTTTTAAAAAAGCTGTTCTTATTTGAATAGTTGTTTAAAGAAGGTTTAGTCCTTGCTTTGTATCTTTGTGCAATAGATATGGTTCCAGATCACTTTAGATCAGCTATGGGCAAACTTGGGCCCTCCAGGTGTTTTGGACTCCAACTCCCACCATTCCTAACAGCCTCAGGCCCCTTCCTTTTCCCCCTCAGCCGCTTAAGCGGCTGAGGGGGAAAAGGAAGGGGCCTGAGGCTGTTAGGAATGGTGGGAGTTGGAGTCCAAAACACCTGGAGGGCCCAAGTTTGCCCAAGCCTGTTTTAGATCCTTAGCGTGCAGCATGAGGAGGGTCGGTTCTTATATTTACTTTGCAAGAAAGCAGATGTCCACTCTCCTCCTTTCAGGATGCGATTGCATTCACTTTCTCCATCCCTGCTTTTGTCTTTTCTTGAAAGTTCAGGAGAGGTTACTTCAGTGATCGCTGAAGCATGATGTCGGAATCAGCATAATTCAAACATCACAGTGGTCGCTTGAAGTGCTAATTAGCTAAATATTTTGGATAACCCTCAAATTGCATGACTTGATGAGAGTTTTCCCCTCAATGAGGGTGAACATGATTTTTTTTACAGCAGAATCTATTGATTTCTGCTTATTGAAGACAGAAATGACTGTTGTTGCTGGAGGATTGCAGTGAAGTATTTGGTAGCCTGTGTCAATAAGACTTGCAAGGAGAACTCTGTCAAATTCAGCATTTCAGCTTCTGTCTGGTTGCTTGCAAAATAGCCATTATCATTTAAATTAGACCTTAAGCAGATTAAAAATGGAGCCCCCTATGATGAATAGTCCCAGAACTAGCAGCAGGGTACTGTTGTATGCCAGCCTGAAATCTTTTTCTCCTTAATTGCTTCTAATTGGCACGATCAGAATAAACTTGTTCATTCTACATGTATATGGACTACAAGAGGGATGTTGTGTTAAACAAGCACCCAAGCTAGTTAGAACATCTTAGTTATTCACTGCAGAAGATGGAAGTCACTTTTCGTATCTTGTATTTCAAGATATTTATTTGTAATTTTGATGTCGTTTGTTGGTATGCAGAGTAGGTTGAGAGTGATGGTGTTTTCTTCCCTTCTTCTTCTGCAAAGTGATATCAGTATCTTGAAATGCACTGATTCAGTTAAAACTTTGCCCACTTTAGCAATATTATTCTAAAACAGTGTTTCGCAACCTTCCTAATGCCGTGACCCCTTAATACAAGTTCCCCATGTTGTGGTGACCCTCAACCATAATATTATTTTCGTTCCTACTTCATAACTATTATTTTGTTACTGTTATGAACTGTAATGTAAATATCAGATATGCAGGATGTGTTTTCATTCAAGGGACCAAATTTGGCACAAATACCTGATATGCCAAAATTTGAATTCTGGTAGGGTTTGCGGAGATAGACTTTGTCATTTGGGAGTTATAGTTGCTGGGATTTATAGTTCACTTACAATCAACAAGCATTCTGAACTCCACCAATGATGGAATTGAACCAAACTTGGCACAGAACTCCTATGACCAACAGAAAATACTGCAAAAGTCTCGTAATCACTGACCTTGAATTTTGAAGTTGTAGTTCACCTATATCTAGAAAGCACTGTGGACTTAAACAATAATAGATCTGGACTAAAGTTGGTACAAATATTTAATATGCCCAAATGTGAACACTGGTGGAGTTTGGGGAAAATAGACCTTGACATTTGTGAGTTGTAGTTGCTGGGATTTATAGTTCACCTACAATCAAAGAACATTCTGAACCCCACCAACAAGAGAATCGGGCCAAACTTCCCACACAGAACCACCATGACCACCAGAAAATACTGTGTTTTCCGATGGTGTTTGGTGACCTCTCTGACACCCCTTGCGTCTCCCCAGTGGTCCTGACTCTCAGGTTGAGAAACGCTGTGTTAAACAAACACCTAAGCTAATGAGAACATCTCAGTTACTCATTGCAGAAGAATGAAGTCACTTTTCACATCTCATATTTCAAGATATTTATTTGAAATCTTGATGTTGATGGTATGCAGAATAGGTTGAGAGTGGTGGTGTTTTCTTCACCCCTTCTTCTGCAAAATGACATCTGTGTCTTGAAATGCACTAAAATCTGCTAGTAGACTCAGTTCAAACTTTCGCCCACTTTGACAATATCCTTCTAAAAGGCCTACGAAATGAAAACATGTAAACACTGATAGTAAAAACTGGAACATTTTCTTAAAATACTGGAAGAATATTAATTATTATTTTGTACCGAAATTGCTTACACATTAGAATCTTAGAGAATCCGGCTTTATTAACCATTCTTGCTCTTCACAGGCAAACACACAGATGGTGGCTTATACGGTAAAGGACCATCTTACTCTGGTTATTCTGGGTATATCATGATGCCAAATATGAACAATGACCCATATATGTCTAATGGATCTCTTTCTCCGCCAATCCCTAGAACAGTAAGTTTACTTTTTTTCATATCCAGCTATATATCTGTCTGCCTAGAATTACAGAAGGAGATTATTCTATCAAGACAAGAGTTGTTTACAGATTAGGAGGTCTTTAGTTTTGATAGGATTAAAGAAGAATGCTTATTTCTAATTAAGGTGCTGACAGTGCATTCCTGCTGCTCAGGCTCATTTCTTACTGTGCATAAGCTTTCTAGGAATTTTGAAAAGCTTACAGAGGAGTATAAGAGGTGAATCATACCAAATCGCTTGGTGGTGTGGCTTCAGTGGTAGGTGTAACCAACTGTTGGTTTACATTTGTGGCACTTGTTGTGAAGTGCGCTTTGATTTGATAATGTTGTTTAAGCGCTTGTAAGCTCTTCTCAGATTTACATGCCTTGAGTGCAAAGCCCATTGAGCTCAATATAGTATAGATTTGACTAGACATTTAAGAATTGATTTGTATCCTGGCATGGCTGAGTATATCCAAAATGAAAGCGTATTGAATTTAATGGCACCACCGAGGAGCATTCAACAAAGTGAGCACAACAGCCACATTTGCATCCTGATTGCACTAAGAAGAGAGTTGGGTGCATTTTATTGTTTACATTTGGTACTTCCCATATGCCAGTGGTTCTCAACCTTCCTAATTCCACGACCCCTTAATACAGTTCCTCATGTTGTGGTCACCCCAACCATAATATTATTTTTGTTGCTACTTCATAACTGTAATTTTGCTACTGTTATGAATCGTAATGTAAATATCTGATATGCAGGATGTATTTTCATTCACTGGACCACATTTGACACAAATACCTGAAATACCCACATTTGAATACTGGTGGGGTTGGGGGGAGATTGATTTTGTCATTTGGGAGTTGTAGTTGCTGGGATGCATAGCTCAACTACAACCAAAGAGCATTCTGAACTCCACAAATGATGGAATTGAACCAAACTTGGCACACAGAACTCCCATGACAAACAGAAAATACTGGAAGGATTTGATGGGCATTGACCTTGAGTTGTGGAGTTGTAGTTCACCTACATCCAGAGAGCACTGTGGACTCAAACAATGATAGATTTGGACCAAACTTGGCATACTCAATATGCCCAAATGTGAACACTGGTGGAGTTTGGGGAAAATAGACTTGAACTCTGGGAGTTGTAGTTGCTGGGATTTATACTCAGAGGCGGCCCTAGGTAATTTTCAACGGTAAGCAAACAGTATTTTGCCCCCCCCCCCCAACCAATCATTGATATATATTTTCTGTTCGTCTTGGGAGTTCTGTGTGCCATATTTGGTTCAATTCCATCATTGGTGGAGTTCAGAATGCTCTTTGATTGTAGGTGAACTATACATCCCAGTAACTACAACTCGCATATGTCAAGGTCTATTTTCGCCCAAGAGTGCCTCAAGAGCGCCCCTGGGCAAAATCAACTATACTGTGAATGCTTACTTTGTGTAATAGGTTGAGCCGCCCCTGTTTATACTTCACCTACAATCAAAGAGCATTCTGAACCCTACCAATGATAGAATTGAGCCAAACTTCCCACACAGAACCACCATGACAAACAGAAAATACTATGTCTTCTGATGGTCTTTGGTGAGCCCTCTGACACTCCCCCTCCCCAGGGGGTCCCAACCCTCAGGTTGAGAAACACTGTCATATGTGAACAGCGAATATTAAACATATGGTTAAGGACCTCAATGCATGCCTTCTGCAGATAAAACAAATTGATTTGTTGCACCTCTGTGACAATGTATAGTTGGTGGCAACCATGGCTTACTAACACATGATGGGTGAATTTTATGTCCATTTATATGGGACTTTTATTTGAAGCATGTTAGCTTAGCCTTAGATACTTTTCAAGTGGTGCCTGACTTATAACAAACCTGTGATAGAATTGCCTTGGCAAAATGTTTTCTGATGGCTTATTGACTGATCTGACCAAAATTACCCAGTTCTTATTCTATCCCATTGAACAAAATGGGCAGTTAAAGCTGGTTCCATAGCAATGTTTCTTGTTGTGATGTTATGTGTTACTGGTGATGCCTAACATGAACCTGAAAATACAAAGTTTGCAACTTTTGGAAAACAGCTGACTGCATGAGGATAAAATATGTGAAATGTCTAAAATGTATTAGTTATTTTTCTGGTTTAGCATGTGTCCATGTTTTCTATTGATTTACTTTAGAGGCATTTACTTTGGCTAGATATGCATATGAAAATACTGGTAATTGGTCATTGTGTGTGTGTGTGTGAACATGCAAATTTAAAATATTATTGCTGAAAAATATTCAGTATTCTTGTGTTTTCATGCTGTGTCACCTTGTTGACTTCAGTTTATTTCCCATTTATGTTCTATGTGTTATAGTTATAAAGTGACATAAATCATGACATTTAAACATATTTTTTTTCTGAGCTTTTGGAACTTTGTGGCAACTGCAAAGTTCCCATTAAGATAATTCCTAACTGGTTGGAAAAATAAGCTTGGAGGAGTTGGAAATAGCTTACAGAGGTATTTACCGGTGTGGTGGAATATGATGGTTTTGAGAAAGATTCATCCCTACAGTTGCATATTTGTGTTACCTTGACAAACAGGTTTGGAAACACATATTTTCTCGGGTGAGAAAATTCTACTTTTCCATTCCTGCCTTTTTAGTAGCGCTTTTGTTATACCATCTTCTGGTTTCTTTTTCCCCATCCATTTTAAAGATGTATGGTTTTCTGTTGCGTTGAAAGGACCATTTGTGTTCAGACTTGTTTTAAGGTAGATGAGCTATTCTTCACTAACGTAAACAATGGATCTGCAAGTTTCTTGCATCTATTTCCTCAAAGGTGTTAGGATACAGAGAATGCCGTACTGCATTTTGAATGCAGAGAATTTCCTTGCCTTTTTACTGGACAGCATGACTTGTCAATTAGCAGGAAATCTGATGAATACCATTACTTACCCAGAGACACCTGCATCTAATTAGTTGCTATGTATGATATTCAGATGCAGGTGAGGGTGGGTGGGAAGCACAGTGTATAAGTAAACTGCTCACTATTTTTATGAATAGGTATCTTCAAGCGGCTTGTTAACTGATGGTCACCTCATTAGGTTTCCTTAAGCAAGGAATGTTTAGAAGTAGCTTTGTCAGTTCCGTCCTCTGAAATTTCATCTACAATATCTGGGACACATTGCTGGCCTCCCATCCAAGTACCAACCAGGAATGACTCTCCTTAGCTTTTGGGAGCAGATGGCATCTGGTGCCTTTAGGGTGTGGCAATCTATGTTAAAATTATTGGTGAACAGAAATATTCATTTTGGCGGGCCTTTGAAATGATGCATAGTTTAAATAAAGCTTGAATACATCCCTGCATATTTTAGTCACGTATAAATGTTGTGATCATGTGTAAATGTTGGGCCCCCAGCGGTGCAGCAGGTTAAACCACTGAGATGCTGAAATTGCTGGTCAAAAGGTTGGCAGTTTGAATCTGGAGAGCAGGGGAAGCTCCCATTGTTAGCACCAGTTTCTGCCAACCTAGCAGTTCAAAAACATGCAAATGTGAGTAGATCAATAGGTACTGCTTTTGCAGGAACATAATGGTGCTCCATGCAGTCATGTTGGTTACATGACCTAGGAAGTGTCTATGGACAACGCTGGCTCTTTGGCTTAGAAATGGAGACGAACATCACCACGCCAGAGTCGGACAGAAGTAGACTTAATGCCAGGGGAAACCTTTACCTTTACTTATAAATTTTGTGCAGTTTTGATGCAGTTTAGTAAACTACATTAAGAAAATTCATGGTGTTGCCATAAACCGAGAGATTATTTGAAGGCACACATATACTGATATTTGTTGGGTTCTGTTTGGTATGATTTTCAGTATATTTTGAAGTCACAAGAACAGCTAACTTGGTAAAAAAATTACTTCACCTCCTTCTCATTGTTTTATGTCAGTAATTACCAACATTGGCAGGTTCCGGAGCCAACCTGGGAATTTGTTTGGGTTAGGTGGATTATCAAAAAGATTCCCCAATTTTTTTAAAAAAAATCTGCAATGATTGTACATTTATATATAAGAAGATACTTTGATGTTGTAGCACAGGCATGGACAAACTTGAGCCCTCCAGGTGTTTTGGACTTCAACTCCCACAATTCCTAACAGCTGCTAGGTTAATACTGAAACAGCTGTTAATTAGCTGGAACTACCGAACTTTTGGAGAACTGAAAATATATATGTGCACACATATCATTTTGTGTAAAATGCATACAGATCAGGCTGGGTGACTTGTGGCCCTCTGCCTAATCTCATGGAGGCCTTCTCCTGCAGCCTGGGGAATAGGAAGTGGCTCCTTCTGGTCTTAACTTGAACAGATCTCTTCCAAGGAAATGTAGCCCTTAGCAGAAAAATGGTTCCCTAGGCCTGGTATGTAAGCAAAGATACACATGTATATACATATTGCATACATGTACAGAAAATAAACACTTTTGATCTTGTAAGAGGACTGCAGTTAGTGTCAAGTGAGATTGATGAATGTGTGTGTCTTATTGTGGGAGCTGAAGTCCAAAACACCTGGAGGGCCCAAGTTTGCTTGTGACTGTTGTAGAATATAGTGGTGTCTTGCAGGTGAACAGCAGCTCATTAAGGAGAGGTACATCATATATTTATTTATTTATTTACCAGCTGTCCCCTGCCACGTGTTGCTGTGGCCCTGTCTATGTATATGTGTTTTGTGTGTGAATATATATCTCTGTGTGTATATGTGTGTATATAAGTGGTTTTGCACTTTCTTTATAATGTATTTTTTATTTTTTTGGCTTTTTAAGTCCCTTCCACTGTGTTTTTCAGTGTTTTTATGAGTGATGGTCACTCGTTGGCCTGATAGGTGTATTGTGTCCAAATTTGGTGTTAATTTGTCCAATGGTTTTGAGTTATGTTAATCACACAAACAAACATTGCATTTTTATTTATATAGACTAGCCGTCCCCTGCCATGTGTTGCTGTGGCCCAGTCTATTTA